CGTTATTTTGCATTTTTTACCAGTCACTATTTTTAGTTACAGATTTAGCGTTGATTACTTGGTTACAGATTTAGAGTCGATTAATTGGTTACAGATTTAGAGTCGATTACTTGGTTACAGATTTAGAGTCGATTTATTGGTTACAGATTTAGAGTCGGTTACAGATTTAATGTCGATTACTTGCACAGATTTAGAGTCGTTTACTTGGTTACAGATTTAGAGTCGATTACTTGGTTACAGATTTAGTGTCGATTACTTGGTTACAGATTTGGAGTCGATTACTAGTTACCGAATCAGACATTCAAAACACAGTTCCAAAAAATATATGAAATAAAGATTATTTTAATTAACTTTTAAAATTATCTTCTTTTTACATAATGTCTTCTTTTTTCTTTTTTCTGTTGATTAAAAAGCACACATTGAGTTTAAAAATGATATGATATGAACGCGATAAATTTTTTTAAAATTAAAATTAAGCAAATAATATTTAATTTAAATAGTATATATTACATTAGAAATAACTCAATTAAATAAAGTATGTAATAAACATGGAGAATGCTTTGCAATTAATTTTTATTAAAACTTGTTAATAAATTTTATTAATAAGTAAACATGAAAAAATAAAACGGGTGTAGTAATAGCATACAAAATTATGAATTATTTAAAAATTTTAGCATTTATTTAACAACACAAATACATTATGATACGCCAAAATGACAATAAAACGGGTTTATTTATCTTCATTACTTAGTAGCGTATATTGCAAATTGGAAGCAACACGTATTGCTTAATTTGAAATTGTTCACGAATTTAATATATATGATTAAAAATTAGACCAGTCTATAATTTTCTTGATTGCCTAATATTCCAATATGCGCATTACTATTAATTATCTAATTTTTGCTTAAAAGAAATTAAGTAGGCATGGTTTTTAATCTGTATCATAATATTCTAACAACTCGACTGCATAAATTTTATGAGTTATATCATATCATTAACCAATTAAGTATGTCAAACTATCAATTAATTAGATTATTACGATACTTAGTTTGATTCTTTGTGCCCTATTATTAATTTCCTTTTGTCTGTAACATCTTAACTTTTTAATTCAATTATATAGTTGAATATTTATTATGAAAGAAAAACAAAACATTTTATTATTTTATTTCAACAAATACGAATCAATAGCATTTTATTAATATAACAATTAGAGTTTACATTAGATGCTTCATTCTATTTTACTTACTTATTTCCCCAGTAATGAAGGCCAAAATTTATTCTTGAGAAGACGGTAAGCACCTGCTAGTCAATTTTAAAGTCAATTTTTTTCAAGTCTAGTAAATTTTTTCTTCAGTATTCGTTTTTAGAGAATTTGAAATTATGTAACGGTAAAAATTGTCTTTAAGGTTTTTATTTTTTATTTTGTTCATGCTACCACATTTCCCATTTCATTCAATCAATGAGATTCAATTTGAGGCTAAGATTGAATTCAGAATTTTTGAATTAGAGGGCTTATTTACAAACAAAACTGTAAAAAAATCTTCGATCAAACTACGGTGAAAAGTGCCGGTACTTTTACTGTAAAGTTTTACGGAACAAAAACTCTGATATACCATAATTTTTACAGTAGTATGTACTACAATATCACTGAATCACTGCGATTAAATATATATTAGTGTAAAAATTACGGTATAAAACTTTACAATAAAAATGGATCTTACAGTAAAAATGGATTTTACTGTAAAAACGAATTTTACTGTAAAAATGGATTTTGCTGTAAAAATGGATTTTACTGTAAAAATTGATTTTATGGATGATGCACTCAATGGTGCTAGCATTTTTTACTGTAATTTGATCTGGAATTTTTTTTTCAAAGTAGCTTCGGGACGTAAATGAAAAGAAAATACAAAATAAGTTGGATCAAGCTGTAGATTAGAATCTTTTCTTAAATATCAGAGTCAAAGATTTATTTCCGTGAATTTTTACTATATTTTTTTTACATTTTCATTTTATTTGAGAAATCCAATTAAAACAGGGTAAATGTTATTATTTTTTAATATGCAATTCATTAATTATCAGTTAGATTTTATTTGAATATTTTATTCATTTAAAATGTTATTTGCTTGTATAGATTTAACTGAAAGTTATCGGAAATCAATTCATTAATGAATTATTTTAATAAATTATTGTTCACATAAAACTTTTAAAAGAGAAACATTATTTTTTGTAATTCTTTTAATTGAATGTAATTAAAGAATCACAGTGTCACAACTTGATCTTCCATTAGATATCCTTTTTTTTTCTTTTTTACATCATTTGTATTGGACTGGGGGAGAGATTTGGAAATTCTTTCTCCCCTACTATATCAAACGATAGTTTTTATCTTTCATCCTTTCTTTCTAAAAATAATGTCTTTACCCATAAATAATAAATTCATAGTTACTGATTCTAAAATTTTTGTTTCTTCAGAAAATTTGCCTTTTTCGAATATTAACAATAAAAATTAAATGCACTTGATGGATTCTATTCCATGCTTTGTATAAGGGTTCTTTTAATTGCCCAAAGTACTGTAGTTTTTAGATATTTTCAATCAAATTTAGCGAGAGTTCTGGGTAAAGAATACTACAAGTGTAAATTGTAATGAAAAATTATTTAATCGAAAAATATTACATGTTTAAATCTGTCATTATTAAACAGTATCATTTGCAAGTCCACCTCCACATGAAGGAGAATGATAGTTTCATATAGTTATAAATGAAGTTAGATGTATAATCTCTGATATACATGCGCTAATCATACTAAACATTAGACAAATTATACAAAAAAAGATTTAAAGCCTTTTCAGAAAAATTTAATGTTTATTTTAAATGTATATTTTAAATTTTCTTTTTTTTTCCAGTGATATTTACCAAATTATACTTTTACCAAATACTTACTTATACCAAATTTTTTATAAAAAAAGTCATTAAACAATACACAAATACATTTCGTTGATTGCCATATTTTTTGTATCGTCTAAATTCACAATTAAAAATGCAGCTGCAGATGTATATTGTTACCGATATCAATAAATTCCTGTTGATAACAATCATCATAATTTACCAAACTTCCTTTTTTTTGAGAGTAAATGATAATTATAAAAGCAACTTTTGATACACAATCATTCATCAGCAATACAAAAAAAACAAAGGAAAAAAAAGTCAAATAAGAACAAATGATATTTTCGACATTTTCAGCAAAACTTAACGCGTGTTTTTAATAAAATTACATATTTTTTTCATAATTTTATATACAAAATCCTCTTTTTGATATTGAAAAGCATTTGGAAAATTTATATATATGAACATATATAACATATAATAACAATATTATATATTATACAAATCTATGAACAATATACATTCAAATCGTCTGCCGAATCGTATAAAAAATTTATAAAAAAAAATCTATTTTTTATTTGAATATTGTGAAAATATTTTCAAGGTTTCCAAAATTAGGTAGATAAGCCAAACTTATACCTTTACTTAAGCTTCTGCTTACCTCCCACTTCGAATATAACTACAAAAGCCTGGGTTTGAGTTATCTTCGAGGGCTCTTTAAATCAAGTCAAGTGTATGTTGTTGTACTAGTACTGTCTGAATCACTTATACGGTTGAAAGAATCCGTTCGTAAAAGGACTGCTATCTTCCCCGTCGTGCTATTGAATTATCTTATTTTTCCGATGAAATGAACTGATTAAATAATTTGTTGAAAAGTAGTTTTGACTGATGAAATAAGTTTTTATTCAAATGCATTTACTGTGTTATATACTACTCTTACTTTTAAGGTGAATATTTTAGACTTTTTAGGAGGTTTTCATTGGCAGATTTTTCTTTTTTTTTCAGCCATTGTGTTCTTTTTTTATCATCGGTGAAAGGAGGGCTTATTGGGAATTTCTTTTTTTCTTTTTTTTATTGCTTGCAATAAAAGTATAGTAATGTAAATGAAAGTGAAGTATTGTGATTCTTTTTTTTTTCATTAAAATTTTTTTAAAATAAATAAAGTGCATAGAAAATTTATTTTTTCAAATAATACTGCAAGAGTTTTTTTTTTTTTTACGGAAAATAAGTATTAAAATGTGATATAGAGTTTCATTTTAAATTTATTTTTATATTAATTTTATCTTATTTTTTAAATTATTTTTTAAAAAAAAAGTGCAAATCACTTTGATATTTTTTAATTGATTTTGAGAAACCTATTGCTTATTTTCGCACAAAGTTTCTTAAAATTAGAAACACTTTATTTTCGATACATTTATTTTTACGATAGCAAGAATTACTTATATCATTTAAAAAAAAATTGAAGTGTGGTAAATTATTCATACTAATCAAAACCTTACTTAATATGGAATATACTTGAAATTTGTAAATTTTATGCGCACCTTTCCTAGCAAAATATGAATGCTTTCCATATTAATCAGACAAATAAAACAGCCTTTTTGATAATTAATTTCACCTACAATAAGATTACGGCATTCATTCCACAATGACAATTCATGAAATTATGGTAGTGTTTTTATTACTTTATATTTGTTTACAACTATCACGATAAAACGAACAGTAAAAAAATGTTTTCGAAATTGGTAAATATTGCAATTTACATTTCTCATGTCTAATTAATTTTATCAGATAATACTAATAAGTTTCAGATATAGATTACGAAAAATGTTACAGGTTGTCCAGGTGTAAACGGTAATAAAATAAGAAACAAAATTTTTTCGTGTAGAACGGCGTCAAATTCTAAACTGAATCTAACTTTTGCCACATCTTGGTTTTGGGGGAAAATCAAGGAAAGCGTTTTTCTTTTTCTTTTTTTCCCCAAGAGTTCGAAAACAGGTGTTGCAACCTATTTTCTCTCAACTCGCATGTTTTCTGAAACAAGGGGTAATTATCATTAAGGATTCTGATATCAATTTACATACCTCGGCGTGGGAGACTTTAGGTAAGAACGTTCAGAGTTTTTCACTTACTTTTTTGATAACTTCACTCATAGTTGGTCAGAGTGACGATAAGTTCTAATCATTAAGTTGTAGTTTTTATTTTAGTTTGTTTAAAAAATATTGAAATTTATTTTTTTTAAAAAATTTTTCTCATAAAAAAAAGAAAAAAATATTTTTATTATTAAATTTATGTGTATATTCTACTCATTTGTCAATAGATGATCATCATTTAGTAAGTTTCGAAATTTATAAGCTTTTTTATTTATATATCTTATTAAAGCTTTTTATTATTATCCATTTCATAGACTTTCAATTAATTCCAATCTATAAACTACACATTTTTTTTAAAAAAAACTATAATTTTTTAAGACTAAATTGATTGCTGTAGTTATATAGGTTCACATTTTAATTGTTAAGCAAATCACACATTTTACGTAAGCGTTATTTAAGTAAGTATTTGTATAAGCTTCCGTTTATGTAAAATACTTCACAGATTCTTGTAAATGATTTGTACAACATGCATGCCTCAGATGTTGCCTATATCATATTTATTGCTTAAATATGTTAGATATTTACACTTCTTAAATTTTTAAATTAATATTGCATATTTAAAAAAACGTGTTGTAAATAGAAGTATTATGTAGAACAAAGTTTCATGCAGAATATGCATTTTATGTAGATTGAATATTTAATTTATAATATGTAGAATAAATTTCTTTTACCAAGAATGAACTTTTCTTTACATTTTATACTATATCTGTCATGAAACAAAAAAAATTGGTAAAAAAATATTTTTGACCTCTCTTTTTGAGATACTTTTATATGCCAATTAGCATTCAAATAAATTATAAATAGAATAAAAATTATTGTTTGCGTTTAAAATATCAGAGATTTTGTTTTATTACATGATACAAGAAAAAGCATTCTTAGTTTATTTTTATTGTGTTAACTTATTAAATTATTGCAATATTAAATTAATAATTTATTTATGAACATATATGCATATTTCAAGGCAACATGAATGTTATTTTGAATGCTCTCATTTATTAAAAATTATTGAATATGAAATAGCAGCATAAAAGAATTTGCATTATATTTTTAGAAAGTTAATTTATTTAAGAAAAATCATTATTATTTTTAATTCATAAGATAAGTTGCAGTATGCTTTGGAATCATCGCCTATTTTGTAGAACTGATGACATGCTTCATAAAATTTTTACATAATTTACATTATTGTGTCTTCGGATTTTAAATTTTTGTTTAAATTGAAACACATCTACAGAACAGGCACAAATTATTTAATTAGCAAATTTTGGCATTGAAAGTACAAAATCATTCCTTAGCTGATTCATAAAAGGGAAATAATTTACAATAGATGTTTTATTGTAGATGTTCCAAACCTTTCAATTGCAGAATTTTTTTATTTTTTAGATTTTTTTTATGAATATTGAAATAACTAAAGCCTTTTAGATATATTTCTAATATTGATACCCATTGAGAAAACATTTATTGAAAGTGAAACATTTAATAGAGATTTCATTGATAATTCCATTAAAAAACATGAATACATCATAATTAATGGAATTTGAAGGAGTATGACATGTATTCGTTTGAAATCCATATGAATTGCTTAAAATCCAATTTCTTTTGGATATCAATTTGTACATAAACATAAATGCATATGCATTTAACCAATTATTTTCGTGCGAAAATATCAGGCTTTTCACAATGACCACCCTTAGTGTGTTTTTTCTTCGAATTTTTCCAAAAAATAAAGCGAAAACTATAGGGAAAGTGGGAAGTAAGCGCACCATAGGAAAAAATTACCCCTAGGAAAACGGACTGCAATCTGTAAGTAAAATTTCTATCTCTTTAAAAAATTTAAAAAAGAAAAAACAAACTTTCGTACGTACTAAATATATATTATTAACAAAATAATAAAAACAACTGAACTAAGAAAAGTTAATATCATTTCGTGAAGGAATTAATAAAATTCTTTTGGTAAAAATTTAACTAAGCCTAAAAAACATTAATAAAACCAAGCATAAAAATAAATGATTAAATTAATCCCCAAAATAAATAATTAAATTAAGCCTAAAATCCATAAATATTTGACTTAAAAAAATCAAGAAAGGTACCTATATATAAAACGTTTTATTTTTCGTGACATTTAAGTTGCAAACAGTAACATAAGTTACATAGTAACGTATAGATAACATAAATTACAAGAATTATTTAATTATAATGGAAAAACTACATAAAATTAATGATATAATGTAATTTGAAATTTAAGATGGCGTCTATAAATATGAAAAATTAAATTAATTTTCTCATCTAATATGTGTAAGCGTTGAATAATGATATGTCTTCATAATTGTAAGATGCTAAAATTCTATTATAAAACAAGATAAATGTTGTTGTACAAATAATTGCTCAATTAATTCTTTGTAAAATATGAAATAAGTTTTATGTCAAATTACCTACTGGCTTACTGACCAAGCTGTTTTAACAGTACTACAAGCATAGCCTTTTTTTCTAACAAAAACAATGTCTTATATTTTGATTACTTGAGTATAGGTGCGGCCTGTGGTTATGAGTTTACGAACAGTGGCGGTAAAAATAGCAATTTTCATGTAGGCTGAACAACAGAGAATAAGGGCGTGTATACTTTTAATAGCTTTTTTTGGTGCAAGAAAGTGTATTAAACGGAAGGTTATGTGTGTTTTAATAAACTCTAAAAACTTATTACATCTTTGTCTGCACGCTACTGTTGAAAAAGTTAACTTGATTATACACTTACCGATTTACATTTAAAATTAGCATCATATTTTTTCGTTTATATGTAGGCGTTTGATTGGCTCATTATATGTAGGCTCATTTAGGCTTAAAAACAATAAAGCCATTTTTAATTTTTTTATTAATGTTCGATTATTTACTAATTAATTTTTGTTGTTTATTGTTGGAACTATTGTTGCTGTTTATTGTTGGAAAATTGCTTGAGTTGTGTTAATAGAAGCTTTATTAATACTATATTTTAGGAACTTATTAAAATTTTTTGGGGTGTGTTAATGGGAACTATAGTAATACTATATTTTTGAAACTTGTTGTTAAAGTTGCTTAAGTTGTGTTAATGGAAGCTTTAATAATACTATGTTTCAGGAACTTATTAAAAATCGCTTAGGTTTTTTTAATGGAAGCTTTAATAATACTATGTTTTTTGAACTTATTAAAATTATTTAAGTTGTGTTAATAAAAGTTTTTATTTTACTCTATATTTTTTAATTTGTATTACTTTTTTTACATTATTACTTAAATTATATTTATGTCTTTATAAATATTATATATTTATGTAATATTTACATTTATGTAAGATTTATGTAGTATTTATATTTCGATATTTATATAGAGTTGAAATGTTGTTAATATTTAATCCATAAGCAAATTAAATTATTTTCATAAAAATATTTGTTTTTAATGATATGGTTTGTAATTTGTTTGTGCAGATTATTTCAGGGGAGAAATAAATAATAACTAACTTTTATTTCTCATATTTTAAAGATTACATTTTATTTTTATTTATATACATTTTATTATGATTTATGTTGTTTATTGTAATTGTTTTATTATTTGTAAGAAAAAGGCTAATTTTTAAAACGAGTTATTTATTAAGGCACATATGTGAAGTTTTAAGATACCACTGCTATGTTTACACTTGAACTCTATTTTTACAATAATTATTCTATTTTAAACAACACAAATTTTATTATTTGTGTTAAATTTGAACTATAATTGTTTTGTTTCAAATGTGTATCTATTTATAGTTTATACCTTTTCACAATATAAAAAAATGAGCCTTATTAAATACAATGCTAAAAAAGGGAAACCTTTCAGAAGTCCAGGCTTACTAACTTATTTTGTTCGCTTGTATTATGCTAACTTATTTGTTTCACAATATAAAAAAATGAGCCTTATTAAATACAATGCTAAAAAAGGGAAACCTTTCAGAAGTCCAGGCTTACTAACTTATTTTGTTCGCTTGTATTATGCTAACTTATTTGTTTCACAATATNAGGCACATATGTGAAGTTTTAAAATACCGCTGCTATGTTTACAATTGAACTCAATTATTTTTGCAATAATTATTCTAATTTAAACAACAACACAAATTTTACTATTTGTGTTAAATTTAAACTATAATTGTTTTGTTTCAAATGTGTATCTATTTATAGTTTATACCATTTCACAATAAAAAAAATGAGCTTAATTAAAAACAATGTTAAAAAAGTGGAAAACTTTCAGGCTTACTAACTTATTTTGTTCGTTTGTAGATCTTAACCGTTAATTTATTTTATAATATTTGGTTTTGAGCGTAAAATACGAGTCTATTTTGTTAAGTTCTACAATGATTTATTTTCAATTTCATTGAAAATAAATTAATTCTAAGCAATTTTCTGATGTTATTGTAATACTTGTTTTTTTCTTCTTTTTTTCTGAAGCATTAAAATGATACTAAACATGTCCTTCTACAAAGTTTCCTAAATGAGTAACCATAATGATAATTACTGTTTATTAAATTTATGAAAATTATTTATACTAGGTCATAGAGAAATTTAAAAGTAGCATATTTCAATTATTTGTATTAATTTTGAATGAAAATTATGATGTTTCATTATTTAAGTATACTAATAGCATAATTTTATTTGCTTTCATATCAATATAAAATCATAATAATCATTATTATGCGTTGTAACTTACTTGGAGGATTTATTTTACGTCATTTAATAGCGCATTTTTATTTTTTGTATTATTTTAAAAATACTAATTGGTTTTTAATTTAAGTTATATTGTTCTATTGTTCATATAAATTGATTACGCTAATTTAATTGATTTCATTAAAATGTTTATATTTAATAATTATAGACAAAGATTTGCTTTATAGTTATAATTATTGTTTATATTTGGTAATTACATTGTTTAATAAGACAACAGTAGTAAAAAAAATATAAAATAATTCACCAAAAAAATTTTGGTTTTGCTTCAACACCAAAAATGGCGGCAACTATGCACAAAAACCTTTTACAGTGTACCGACAACAATCTAATATTGAAGATACATTATACAACTGAATACAAATTTCGTTTTAAAAGATTAATTACAATATTTCGTTACAAAATTAAAAAAAATATTTTGAGTATTTCATAAAAATTAAACTGCAGTCGTAAAATATTCTCGCAAAATAAATTTTATATTAACAAGTTTTAAATAATGAAAATATACTCTAATATCACAATTTAACAACATTAACAATTTGTTTAATATTCTTTTCGAGAATATATATGGAGATAAAATGCATAATTTATGACATAAGTATAGTGATGATAAAATGTTATGAATGGTATTTAATTGTTCAGTGCTATAAAATGCTAATTAAGTTTTCTTCTGAATATTTAGATATGACGATTACGACTGCGACATCGGGAGTGCTTTCAAGCGGTTTGTTGGAATGGAAGTTTCGGCTACTCAGTTCTGAAAGATGAAAAAGATCGCGAATCATTTGACGGTAATTGAAGATGATCCCATGCGGCGAATAATAACTTTTATTCCGTTTCAATTGTTCCATTCTCCGTTGAATGAAAAATAGTAATTTGTGTTTTGTTTTAACGAATGAAAATAAGTAAGAAAAGCTAAAATGGTGGAGAAAATTTTATTGTTTTAAAATTTCTTTATATCTGAAACGAAAAATTAAATTTTAAGATGTAATTAAATTAAGTAAGTTATCAAAATGAGATAATTACATTCAAATGAAATTGTAACTCACATTTTAATGACTTTTTTGTTGCGTAGAAAATTTTTTAAATCTTTCAAAACATATAGTTATACTTGGTTAACTTCCTATAAAATTATATTTGAGTTTGAGTTTTAAAATCTCCTTTCCTTTATTTTTTAATTTTAAGAGATAAATAAGGTAATTATAAGACTTGAAGTAAAGTTTACGTTAGAAAAATAATTATGCTCTTTGGCGAATTTTTGACATATATTTAGAACAATTAAACAAGTTTGAAAAAAAAAATTGAGCTTTCATTTTTAGAGCAACAGCTCTTTGAAATATCATATCTAAAATCCTGAAAATTTTTTAATTAAAAATTGATTTTAAATTACAAAACAAAATCTCTTAAAAGTAATAGATAAAAATTTGTCAACTCTAAATTAGCACTTAAATTTGACTTAAAAAAATTTCTAATTTAAGTGCTAATTTAGTGTTTATGAAAGCACCTAAACATTAAATATTCACCTTGTTAAGAGTACTCCGGAAAATATACAGAATACTGTAAAAAATAAAAATAAAGCATTATTAGTTTTCGAAATTAGTATACAATAAAAGTAGTGCTTTAATCAACAAAAAATATTTATATTTTAATTGATTGATAATTACCATAAATATGTTAATGAAATAAAGTAATGACAAATAAGAAAAATCGGAAATAAAATTAAGATCCGATTTTTAAGAACTCAATTATAAAAGTTTTAAAATAATATTTACTGAACTTTAAGCTTCTATCCTAATAAAACTATTTGAAAAAAGTGTTCTACTTTAAAAATCCTCATTTATTTGTATAAATTCATTAATTAAGTGAAAGATACTTTATTTTATGTTTTACATTCTTATTTTAATAAATTTTTTAATAAAAGTTTTTTAAAACAATGAGAAGAAAAAGTTTTTGTCCAAATATTGATTTATGGATTTTCTTAGTGAAATTCCCCCCATAGAGATTGATAAATCTAAAAATTATGCTAAATCATAAAGTTTCGCTCTAGTGGTAACATTATTTTGTTTATAATAGATAAAAAGAACTCATGGCTCAAGGAAAAGTTAATAATTTTACTTTTGTCACATTTGAAACAAAAACGGGGGGGGGAGGAAACGTAGGGGAAAATTTAGGTGGTGATTGCGAAATTGATGGACTTCACTTATTTCCGTTTTAGTTGCGAAAAAAATAAAATAGTTTTTTACTCTTTAGTTTATTTAAATAATGTAGTTTATAATATCGTTTATGCAAATACGTTTAAGCAAAATCTTTTTCTAGCATAAATTTATATTAATAATTTATTATAATATAATATTTATAGCATAATACTTAATATTTTTATTTAAATTTTAATGATTATTATTAGAAATTGTAACAAAATATAATTCGAACAAAATATTATTAGATTAAATCAATGACTTTGAATCAATTAAAAATGTGCTCAAAAATGCAAATTTCATTAGAATCCAGGTCTAAGTTATTATTAAAAGAAGATTCTAAAGCTAAAAAAATAGCTTTTTTGTTTCAAAATTTATAAAAAAAATAATTAAGATTTTTTCATCTAAAATATTACTGCTCACATCTTACAAAATCGAAATTAAATTCAAAACGAAGTTTGGAATGTTTTAATGCATAAAAACCGATTAGAATGAATGATTATGAACGACAAAACACTCCATAATGTTGATAAAAATAAAACTCAACTTTTACCCTATTGTAAACATGATTAGTACGACATTTTTATTATTTAAAATGATAACATTATTTCATATGTCAGTTTTTTTTTCACCATTAAAAATATTGCGTATTTGAATGAAATATATTATACACTGAGAAAAAAAGTATGGTCAGAACTGCTACAATATGTTTAGTACGTACAGTGTTTCTGGCTCTATGGAAACACCAAAAAGCTCGGTAATTTTTGCCGAAGAGCTTTGATAATGAATTTAATCAAATAAAGAATAAGATATGGTTTTATAATGTGTTATAAAATTTGGTAAGTGTGTTAAAACTTGGTAATTTAATCATGATGTTTGGTAATTTTATCCCGACAGTTAAATTTACTTTTCAGTTATATTTTTTGCTGAATGTGTGGCAATAAGAAATATAATTTTGAAAACTAGAATTTCTTGTAAGTTTTTACCATATGAAGGGCAAAACTACAAAATGAATAGTTTAAATACCACATATTTTGGTTTTTATTGCCAGAATTTCAGTTTTTTTAAAAAAAATCAGAAATGTCATTGTAATCAGTAAAATTAACAATAAAATATGGTTTTATAATATATGATAAAATTTTGTAAATGTGTGAAAGTTTGATAATACAATCATGATGCCTTAGATTTGATAATATTATCTGATGATTAAATACCGTATATTTTAGTTTCACTAACCAGAATTATGGTTTTTTTCCCTCCGGAAATGTCATTACCATATAGTACGGTAATTTTACCAGAATATTTTTCTACGTCTAATTTCAGAGTAGATAAGAATTATAGAAACGTGAACATAATATTGCTAAAAAATATATATTACTCAAGGGTCCATAAATATCGATCACAGGTCATCACGACATCTAAAATTTGGCATTTGGCACTTAATACTTTAATAAAATTTAATTGAAAGAAGAAAAAGAAAAAACAATTGGTGCTGGTTTAAATTTTATAAATACTGGTTCATAGAAATTATGCATTTTTGTAATTTCCTGATAAAACCTTTACCTTCACCCCCTAAAATTGGGGGCATTTTTTATTTTTTTAAAAAAAATATTACTTCAAAATATAAAATAACAGAATATTATTTACAAAAATATTATTTACAATTAATTGACATTTTTTAGCTGAACACAGAATGGCAGTCAGTATTCTTGTAAAACTCATTTAAAGTTGGCGTAATATGTACATCGCAGATAAAAATCATTTTCTTGTTATACTTGAGAGAAAACATGTTTACACCTTGTAACAATCTTTGGATAGAGCGGAAGCGGAGAAAATATCCGTTCTCTAATAATTTCGGTCAGCCCCTAGTTAGTCTAACCTTCAATTAAAAGGAAAAATACCTCCTTTTCTCCCTTTAGGGAAACTTGTAATTTTGTTTTTCACAAACAAGCTTTCTTTAATATAAACAAGGATATTGTTGTTTTCTCACGGTGATTGCCACAATCTCAATAAATTTATTAATTATGATTAAAGAGAAAGTATAATTAATTTTTCATAAATAAAATCTATACTCAAAAATAACTACATACTCATAAAATTATTTATCAGCTCATATAAAAGCACCTAAAATACTCATAAAATTATTTAAATTGTTATTATTTTATATGGCTTTGTTGAGAATGTTTATTAACACATAACATTCCAATAAATTTCTTCGAACTAGTTTGGTAATTTCGATAAAATTTATTAAAGGTCCCTAATCATTATTAACAACTATTTTTTATTTATTCAAAACATTGTATTTCATTAAGATTATTTTTTAATTTAAAAAAAAAGTTATTCAAAGGTAATAACGATTTTTAACTGAATTTTTAATGCAAAAATAATGATTTTTCAGTGGCAATGATATTTTATCAATATATTTTTTTAACAAAGCGAAGCGGAAAAAAAATATGTGCCGTTAATTTTTTACTAATTAAATAAGATTAAAAGGGATTTTATTATAATTGTCTTAATCGATAAAAATGTTTTATAAACATAGTCAATACTAGGAATTTTTATTCCAAATTATTTTTAAGAGTTATATTAAAATAGTCTGATTCCAATAGTTTATTCTCAATAGTTTATTTCCGACATTTTATCTATGGAATTTAAGAATTTTTACTGCTTTTCTAGTTTATGCTGTTCATTTAGTTTTATAGCTAAAAGAATTCCAGATTTGATTAATTTTTATGTTAAAAACATAAAAATTAATCAAAATTGGATAATCAAATCTGGATAAAAGTTTCTGAATAAAATTATGGTTCGGATACTTAAATAATTTCAATTTAGGCAAACAATTGAGTAAACTATTCCAAACTGAGTAAACTATTGTCTCTTTTATTGTATCCATCAGAGTTATAAAACTCTTTGTAAAAATTATTTGGTACAGTCTCAGATAAAAAAAAAATTAATGTTGAACCATAATATCTGTCCATGGAACCATAATGTTGCTCAAATATCTTGCACCCTTAATAAGTTGTTAAAATGAACTGTTTAAATTAGGATGAATAATAGAATCACGTTTTTAAAAATTAACCTGATTCGACTAATCACCTGATTCAAATGGCAAAGTTGCACGATATTGTAGTTCAATGTGCACCAAATTTCTAATAATGCAGTTGTTGATCTTAATTTTTTAAGTCTCGACAAGTTTCCTAGAAGAATTGTGATTGTAGTTTACAGCACAACAAAATTTTTAACAGTGTAGTTGTTTTCAAAATAAATAAATAAATAAAACTTAGTGATAATATCAACTAATCATAAAATCTTTGGTTATTTAAATACAATAATTACATGATATAGAAAATATCAAGAATAATAAATACAAATAAGATATTTGTTGGAGCGTGATAGTAAATCATTTGTTATAGATAAAACGTAAAAGAGAAGATAGTAAATCTCTAAATATGTATATCCTTGAGATAAAACATTGAACTTCCTATTTTGTTCTGATTCAGTACCAGAATATACACAATTGGTGGAAAAGAATAGGACTTACTTTTTTGGTTGATCAACCACGCATAAGACGAGATTTACAACTATGAAAAAAGATTTGCTAAAGTTACAAATCGAGTAAAGCATCTCCTCTTGCTAATTTTCGTGATGCAAATTATCATAGCCGAATAGGTGCGTTTAAAAACAAGATAATAAAGAAATAAAAATTTAAGCATCGTTAGACTTGTCTTATTACTCAATAATAATCATAATGTATTTACAGTTAAACTTAAATTTAGAATTCCACTTATCAGATCTTTTTTCAAATTTACATTTATTTTATTTTATTTAAGTGTATTAAAACTAAGCTGTATTCCTTTAAAGAAAGGTGAAAATAAATCAATGAATAAATACATAAAACAAATGATTCTATAAAGAATTTCGTAAATTAAATCCTATTTAATTTGCAAATGTATAACATCCAAATACGTTTAAGATAAATACAATAAGATTGATATCGATAATCACAATAATTATTTTATTACATAAGTTACTGTAATTATTTTCTAAAATAATAATTTAGAATGTTTAAAATATCCAAACCATTTCCCATATTTACTACATCTAAACATCTAAATAGTTTTAGACGTTTATTGTTAGTTATATTAAAATGCCTAAACCAGATTAACTGTTTATTCTCAGCTATATTTAAATACCTAAACAATTTTAAACGTTTATTGTTAGTTTTATTAAAATATCTGAATGACTTGGCATTGGTAAGTTACTTAAATTTTAATATAAATAACTATTCAGATAAAAGTTATTTACATTAAAATACCTAGACCATTTTTAATGTCTATTGTTAGTTATCATTAAAATTATTTTAACTGTTATTTGTTAGTTATATTAATTTCTAAACATTTCTATACACTTATTGGGTAGTTACATTAAAATACTTCAATAGTTAGAAGGAATATTATGAAACCAGCTATTAAGACATAAGTCAGTTATATAAAAATGTTTAATCCATTTAAATGTTTAATTTTGAAATGTCTAAGCCATTTTCGTTTCTTAGATTAAAGCATACATTCTTTCGTTTCTTGTATTTCTCCTTTAGTGAGAGCAGCAAAAAGTTTGAAAATGGCGATTGTACATTGAAATGAAGATTGAACATTGAAATGAAGATTGAAAATTGAAATGAAGATTGAAAATGAACATTCTGAATCAAAATAGGGAAAAAAAACTATTTACTAAAACTTGGAACTTTTGAAATTTGGAAAATATTATCCATGAAATTTCAGAGAAAATTTGAAAAAATAATGAATAAATAAAAATAAATAAATAATTCTTAGAAAATTACTTCGTTTCTTTTTTTTTTAAAAAAAAATACAATTTGAATATTTGTTATTACAATGTTTGAAAATGCTAATTAAAAGATATATTGCAATGGTAAAAACATTTCTATTTATTTAAGTGGAAAAGGAAATTTCAAAATTATTGAATAAAATAGATGGTGATTGAAAGATTATTAGGGAAGAGTTTCTTATAGAAGAGTCTCTTTTATAGAGTTTTAGACACAATTTAGCAAAACATTTGTAAAATCCTAATAATATAAATGCTTTCAAATGGTTTTTTATAAGAAGGCTTAGTTTTTTTTTCTCAACCATAAAATTTTTTCTAAAACCTTTAGATCATATATAACAATTTATCAGAATATATTTTTTCATTATTTTAAGGTTAGGAGTACGCACTTTAAAAAAAATGTGAGTTTATTTTGTAATTGATTTTTAGAACAATTTTTAATCTTAATAATAATTATCTTTCTAAAAATGTAATATTAATATTTAATGGTATTGAAAATGTCATTAAACATATTCCTAAAAGTAATTAGAAATGAACAGTTCTGATAATATTAAAAAAAATTAATTGTTAAAATTTTGAAAACATCAACTTTTGAAAGTGATGAGATTTCAATGATTTAGAAAATATTGAAGAAATTATCTCTTTCTGAAGATATTATAACTTAAAAGCTTTTAAAAATATTGCCAAAATCTAAATATCAGAAAGTTTTCAGAATTTATAGTTTTAAAATTGCTGTGAAAATTAATTTTTAAAATACGTTTTAAGAGCAATATAATTTTTAAAATATTCTGAAAACGAAATCTTAGTTTAGGTATTAGAATTTAATAGTTTTAAAAATATTGTAAAGTTTAGATGCATTCAAAAACTGACAAAATGTTACTTAACAGCAATGCTATTTTAACTTGTTTACGATATTATGTTACTTAATATGTTCTACTAAAATCTTTAATTTTACAGATGAAATTTAAAAATATTCTTTTAAGAAATTTTTAGGCATACCGAGAAAAAGAGTATTATAAAAACTACCTGAATATTTTAAAATTTACTTCGTTTTCGACTCATGTTGATACCAAAAAAGCACAATATTTTTCATAGAAGCACTGTGGTAATGACTTTCGGTAAAATTAACAATGAAATATGGTTTAATTACCATGCTTTTAGGAAATAATTTGGTAATTTTGGAACACGCATAAAAACCATTTATTTTGTAAATTTACTTTTCAGTTTCGTATTTTTACTAAATATGTTGTAATAAGAGCCATAATGTAGAAAACCAAAATTTCCGGTAAAACGTTATCGTAAAAAAGGAAAAATTACAAAATGACAGTTTAAATACCGTATATTTTAGTTTTTATTACCAGAATTGTCGTTTTTTTAGAAAAAAAAATCAGAATTGTCATTAAAATCAATAAAATTAACAATATGGTTTTGTAATATGTGATATAATTTAGTAAATGTGTAAAAATTTCATAATATTATCATGATGTCTTAGAGTATGACACAAAAGTCTTTTATTCGATTACATTTATTGGTAAGTTTTAAACTTTTTACTAAAAGTGTGGCATAAAAGCCATTTATTCGGTTACATTTATTCTTAAGTTTTGAACTTTTTACTAAAAGTGTGGCATAAAAGCTACTTTTTCGGTTACATTTATTCTTAAGTTTTGAACTTTTTACTAAATGTGTGGCATAAAAGCCATTCATTCGATTACTTTTATTCTTAAGTTTTGAACTTTTTACAAAATGTGTGGCATAAAAGCCATTTATTCGGTTACATTTATTCTTAAGTTTTGAACTTTTTACTAAATGTTTGGCAAGAAGTTATTTTGAATATTATATTATATTACATTTTTTCTAACATTATTATTTTATAATATTTTGTTTTATATAACAATATTGCTATTCAAGCACTGTAATCTGAAGTTTTTTTCTTCCTGCATTGTGATATTTGTGACTACATTGTCAATCAAAATAAATAATATATTGAAAACATCGATTTAATGCATGAAAAAATCATCACTTTTATCATTCTAATTTTTATCAAAATAATATGCGAAACATATGGAAGCAGTAATTAATCCTTTAGAGTGGTGAAATGATAGAAATTAAAGTGCAGTGACTCACAACTTCGTTACTAGGTTACCAAAAAGTCACAATTATTAAAAACCTAAGCACGGAGCAAACGATTTCTAGAAGGCGTATCTCATAGCATGATATAGAAATGGGCAGTGAATTGTAACGACACGAGTTTTGGTCATCGAATGTATCGATGTATGAGGTAGGCCCCACCTCCAAAAGTGCTCGCAAGGAGGGGGACGCGGGGGCCCAGTTGGCATTTCGTGATTCCAATGGCTGGGTGGGGCCTCATGACGGATGGTTGATGATTATGAACATTTGTTATCATATCTTGAAAATGATCCGCGTCAGCATTTTTGTGGTCGTTTGCAATGAGGGGTGATCTCTACATAACGATGATGAGCGAAATGTTCCATAATAATTTTTTTCGAAAACTGGTGAATAAACCCCAAGTGTTTAAAAATGCCAAATGAATATTTACAGTTCAAAACTGGGCTGTATATCACTTTTGAGATATTTTTTCTTTCAAAACTGTCGTCAAATTTGGCAAGAATTATCAGGCAGATATTTTATATATATATATCGCATTTACTTAATAAACCCTACAGTGCTATTTTTTTAATGCAGTTGAAGGTATTAGTTAGTTAGTAGACCCTTTCTACTGACTCTTTTTTCTTACCATATTCGAATTCTGAAGTCTCAAAATATAAGGAGTAGTTGAATCTCGGAAATTTTTACATATTTTTAATATGTATAAATTTTTTAAATTTCCTGGAATTAGCACATAATTTTTAGTCTTGTTTAAATATAAAATAATGAATTTTTTAAGAATAGTTTATTTAATTTTTTTTTTTTTTTTTTTTTTTTTTTTTTTTTTTGAGATTGATAATTAGAAACTGTTTTATTTGAAAGGTATAAAATTTTTGTGCCTCATCATACAGCGTAGTTTTATAATCAGATAATTTGTTAAAATAAGATGATTAAGTAGGTTTTCAGATGTAAGTTTAATGTATATATATATTAGTTAATAATTTTTTTTAAAAAACAGTTCTAGATAAAGTAATAAGTTATAGCCTCCTTGCTGCATAAATTTGATTGTACTGAAATCATCAATAAAAAATTATTCTCAAGTCAATGTTTTTTTTTCTTTTTTAATTCATGAGAAAGTAACCTCGCTGTCTTTAATAATTGAACAAATTGACCGATAAGAAAATTTTTAAGGTTGAGAGAAGCTTTCTCAAATGAAGTACAGGGTCAGTATGGGGTAATGCGTCCCATCTCATAAATACTTCCTAAACGAGATAAATTTTAAACTCTACTCCAGATAATTCAAAATAAATTGTAGTCCAAAAATTTGCTGATATACGGTGCTGTAATCGATACAAGCACAGTTAATATGCGTCATAAATAATAAGGAAAGTAACAAAGTTGTAGTAAAACTGCTCTATATGTACTTTTTCATGTTAAACAGATTTCTCTAATCACAGATATATAATATGCCTAATATAATATTCATAAATGTATAATATTCATAAATATGTAATATGCATATGTGATTTATAAAGTATAATATGCCTAGTCCTATTTTCCATAGCAGCTAAGAAATTCTGCTATGACTGTTCTACCGGGAAAAAAATTAATAAGAAGAGAACCGTATTGAAAGTTATTGCCAATTCAAAACCAACCAACGCAAGCTACAAAATGTTTAAATTTTTTTTTTGTCAGTTTAAAAATCTGGTGCCTTGGCGACAGAACAGCGACTATACTGAATCCCTCGTTTTTTAATCTACATGATATAGCAATGTGCATGCAATGCAACACAAATAAATCCGTTATACTGCAAATAAATTGTGTTAGTGTGCCAGATCTATAATTTTCCTAGTGAATCGGTTATATAGTTTTCTTAGTTAATCAGCTATGATGGTTACACTGTAAAAAACTCTGGATCAAATTACGTTAAAAAGTACCGGCACTTAAGGTGCCAGTACATTATGTTTCAGTAATATTTATTGCAAAATCAATGAATCACTGTAATTGAATAGATATTACAGTAAAAATTACAGTACAAAATTTTACGGTAATATGTATGTTTCGGATGATCCACACTGTGCAAAATTCCAGTATATTGCACCGGTACTTCGGGTTCATCCTCTATAAAATCCATTTTACCATAAAATCCATCTTTTCCGTAAAATATTATATCGTAATTTTTACTGTAATATTAGAGTGATTCAATGTTTTTACGGTAATACTGTAAGGATTTCGGGATGTTAGATTTTATATTCCGTAACATGCTTCAGACTTTACAGTAAAAAATGCCTGGAAACCTGAGTGCCAGTAATATTTATCGTAATTTGTACCTGAATTTTTTACAGTGCACTCAGGGGGCCAGTACTTTTTACCGTAATTTTATCAGTAAAATGCATGAAAAGAAACTTTCTCTGAAGGTTAATATACAGGGTATTGAGGCTTCATATTCGTTGACATAGTGCTAACTGTACAATGCTAAAAATTTAAAAGTGCATTGAGCAAAACATCGTTTAAATTTGCTGCAAACTAAATTTGACACCAAATTGAACCCTATTATAAAACATATTAATCATTCTTGAACTTGATTACACGATAATATGGTTCAATTTAAACGGACAAATAATTCAATTTATCATCTTATTAAGGTTATTGAGGTTAAAAGTATCCATTTTGTGGTTCAATAGTCAACCAATTTCCTGAGATTGTTGGAGATTTTTGTGGTTTTGTTATAAATATATAATATGAGCTTGAATTAGTTGCGTTCAAAATATATCAATTAAGAAGCACTCGTTGAATTCAAATGCCTCTAGCATTTTGAGTTATCTT